CTCTCAACCTCCCATCTCCTGAGCCCTGTGCGTGCTACAAGCTGGCATCTTTGGTGTCCAGGAGGGCTTTTACAGTGAAACCTGATCTGGTTTGCTGTGCCTTCCCCCTTCCCTGCAGGCCAAGCAAGGCAGCAGACGGGTGGGTTAGACCATGGTGGATGGTGGCCACAGAAAGATTACTGCTGAGTCTTGGAGACAGTGGGGTGATGGGAACAAGTACAACAAAGGAGGCAAAACACAACCGGATCTGGGAAAGAATGAGGGGGAAGGGGATGTGCGTCAAGGGAGCTGGTTATCACGGCATTGGGCATCGGTGTGACAAAACACGCTTCTGCTGCTGACACAGCAGAGAGAAGCCCAGGCAGATTCAAGGGCTGGTGTCTGCTTCCAGTGTTCCCGGGGGGACCCACTTCCACTGCAAACAGGCTCTTTTGGCTCCAGAGGTGCTCCCAGAGAGGAAACTGCCCCCTCTGACTCAGTCTGGGGTTTGCAAAGGAAGAGAAATGGAACTGGGTACTTGGCAGAAGCCTGGGGGGGGCGGTCCCAGCCCAAGAACCAAGTGTCATGGTCTATGATGCACAAAAAACTACAAGAAGCCAGAGGAGCTTTGAAGCACTGGGCTCCACATGCTGAACCCCCACCAATAACTGCAGGTACGTTAGCAGAGACCGCTGGGAGGAAGGAAGGAAGAGAAACCTTTGCCTGAAGCTTCTTACAGGGCTCTGCTAGGGGTGCAAGAAAGCTCAATACTGCATAAAGCCTGCCCCACATCCTGTTTTTCATCCATCCTGACTGAACCGCGTGCTCCAGCCAGTCTCTTTCAGAGCCTTTTAGGAGCTCAGATGCAGCAGCTGCAAACCCAGCAAGGAGATAAAGGAGCATCCGGTGCTTGGCATTAACCCTCCCGGCGCTGGGGCGGCCAAACCCAGCCGAGGGGGCCGGAGGAGCTGCCGGGAGGGGGGTGCCTGTTTGCCCACACAGGTGCAGCATGTTCCTCATGCCATGAGCCAAGGCCAGGAGCACGTTACTGCCTCTGCTTCCCCATGCACCCTGCCTGATGCCCTCTCCGCTGCTTCCCTGCTGGCACCAAAGAGGCAGATGCTGGGAGGACCACGCTATACAAATGCTTGTGCCGAAGCTCTGACAGCACTGCCATTACCTTCTGAGAACGTCAGCTCTCCCAAAGCCTGAGAAGGGAAATATTAAAACCCAGAGCAGTCCAAGCTCTGGATTCAGCCCCTAAATGCTCAACTGCCTCCCTGCATCTTCTGGAAAGGAAAACCCTCACCGCTCTGCAGGAAAACCTGCAGTGAGGAGGGAGCACATCAGTGATGTTGAGAAGGGCTGGACACCAGAAACCATCCCTAACCCAGCAGCAGCTCCTAATTCATTTGGCTTTACAAGCTGCTGACCATCCCAGCCACCAGAAAGATGATCAGCCACAAGCCTAAAAGGTTGTATTTGCAGCTGGATTTTTAGCAGCTTCAAAACATCTTAATGGTCTCTTTGGAACCCTGTCTGGCTTCCCAGGCCAAGGGAGCCGCGCCTAACATTACCTACAAAGGCTCGGGTGCCTCTCTGACCAGGTCTGGTACTTGCAAGTTTGTCCAAGGGCTGGGTGATACTGCAGCCCATCCCATGGCAGGAGCTGTGGTTCTGCAAGATCCTACAGGGAGATCCATTTGTGTGATTTCAATATGCTTCCCTGGTTTCTGCTGGGCTGGTTCCTAATGGCACAAAATACGGAGCCAGAGCATCCAAGGGAATGAGAGTGCTGGCCCCAGTGTTTCAAAGCTGCAGCTCTGCTCCCCTAATGTGCTAGCATGTTCACTTACAATCCCAGAGGAAAGCGAGGTGGTTCGGAGTCTGCGCTGGCGGGGAGAGTAAATCCAGTACCTCCCATCTGTGAACTGGATGGCCCCAAGGCAAGTGAAGTGAGAAAGGAAACAAAGGAAAAAAGGATGATGTGAAAGAGAGGATGAAAGAGAAAGCAAAAAAACAAGGGGTTGGGCAACTCCAGGCCTGAATGGATCAGCAGGCAGGAAAGCCATGTGTGGGAAGAGCAGCGCCCATGCCCTGCCACAATCTCTGCGCTTTTATTCCCCTGCAGGTGAACAGGAGGATAAAGTGCTCTCCTTTCTGGAGCAGGCTTCCAGAGATCAGATCACAGTCCCCTGGGACTTGACAAATCATCCTCTGCACACGGCATCCCTTTACCGACCGTCACCCTGGAGCATTAAAAAACCTGCAAGAGAGCAGCTGTGGTCCAAGCCCCACTGCACTCTTGTGCAACCTCGCTTGAGCTCCAGCTCAAGAGGTTTTCCAAGGAGAACATCCGTGGGAACCCAAATCAGCTTTTCCCTTCATCCCAGCAGTGACAAACACTCCACAGCACACGACACACATTTAATGCAAAACTCAAGGACTTAGATGAAGTATGAAATGCTGATGAGCAGTCACGCTCTCTGTGAGTGCACACTGCAAACAGATGGTTTCCTCTGGACAGAAAGGTTCCCCTCAAGTTGGGGGGAGTCCATATGCCCAGGGACAGGGAGGAAGAGGAGCTGACCCTTGCCAGAAGACACTTGCCAGTGGAGCAGGCAGTATCTGCAGGCAGCTTGCACACAGCTGCCATCCACAGGCAAAGAAAGAGCAGCCAGTGTTAAGAGGGAGCTGTTTGCATTTTGAACAGCATGCATTAAAACCCAAACAGACAAGCTTTTAAAATGGAGCTGATTCCTTCCACGGCTCCCACAAGCCTCAGAATGACTCGGCAATGAGCGAGCAGCTCTGCAGCAGAGTCACGCAAGCACAGGGAAAGGCAAACGTTGCCATTTTTAGGTTAGCCTGAAGGGCTCAACTCATCTCCATCGCCATATAACCAACAGCAACGAGTCAGAGCAGGCAGGAGCAGGAGCTGGGCACCTCTTTTCATGAGAAGGTTCCAGTGCCCAGGCATGTGGGAGAGCTCTCATGGGTCAGACCCTCTGCTCTGGGAATCCATGCGTACATGTTGCTGAAAAAACCCCCTCTTCTCTGGTCTGCAGAAGCTGCTCAGGCATTGCAAGAGCTGACTGAGGAACACAGCACCAGGCTCCACGGCACTCTGCTGCCAACCACCCACCACCTCACTTACTCCCTGTCTCAGCACTAGATTTCCACTGCATCACCTAATGCATCTGCCTGCAGGGAAAGGAAAAGCCAGAGTTCACCAGAGCCAGAGGTCAGCCCCACTGCAACCACCTCCCCGCTGGCTCTAGGCCACTGCGGCACGTTTGTGTTCAGGAAAGCAGCCGGGCTCTCTGGCTGAGGAAGGAAGAACCTCTCAGTTGGACCTACATTCAGCTTGGCTTGTCCCGGGAGAGAACACGCTGGCCTAGATAAACCCTTCAGCGCTTGTGCTCGGAAGTAGAGCAGCGCACCTATGGCTACATTCACAGCAGCAGTACCACCCATTTGAGCCCCACTAGACGCTGGTTTGAGTTCTCCAAGGGTTAATCCAGTTCCCTGCATTCAAAAACTCATCCAGCATTAAGATCTCAAGGCACGAAGACGGCACGGGGCAGACTCTGCCCTGCACCCGACTGCCTGAAATCAAGATCGTTACAGCCTCGTCCTACCTTTCCCATCACACCCCTAATGGGCCAGGCGGAGGCAGAATCTTACAAAGTATATGTCTGTGACTGGCACGTCATCTTCATCCGAGGCCTGGCTGGCTGGTTCAGAGGCCTGGCTGGCTGTCTCCACCTCTATTGTAGCTGTGGACGTTACAATGGCACAGGCTGAAGAAGCCGCCTCTCTGGAGGGGGGGAGAAACGACAGAGTCTAGTCACTGCAATCAGAAAAGGAGCAAGCAAGACTGTATGATTTATTACAGAGGAGTTGAAGATGCTTCGCTGTCACGTCCAGAAAGATCAGGGTGGGTTGGAAGTAACAGCGCACAGCTTCACTGAACTGTCTGGGGAAGCACCTATCTCTCCAGGAAGGCTGGTACCCTACAAAGTCAGCCTCCAGCACAAGTTGCCACAGACCAAATGACACTGGGTAGGGCTCTGCAAAGCTGCCCAATGCTCCAAAACACTCACTCTTTGTCATCTTCGGGAGCTACGATCTCAACGTCACACTTGGGCTCCAGCTCGATGCTGATCTGCTGAAGCTCCTCCTCAACCCGCACCTCCTCGTGCGACCTGGAAACCAAAGAGAGACAAGTCTGAAGGTTCAGCTGGGCACTAATTATGCACAGTCCTCAATCTTAGGTCAGCCTGAATCAGTCCTGAGTCAGCCCAGTCTCTCACACCACAACCTCCCCCACTGGAGCGAGCTGTGCTGGTCTGCCCTGGCACACAGCTGCCTGCTGCCAGCCACTCACAGCATCGAGCTCCTGGCACAGACTGAGCTGTTGATTTTGGCTCAGAGGGAGCCATCAGACCTCCCAGGATTGCGGATTTGGATAACCAAAACTCCCAGGCAAAAGAGTCAGTCCTGTGAGATTGCAGTGCTCAAGACTAACAAGGTGGGAAAAGAGGAAAGGGATTAACAGCCAGTGCTGCAGAAAAGACGGGCAGCGTCAAATGAAGTATAGGAGGAAAGAGGAGAACTGGCCTCTGGGAAAGCCTGTGTCCAGAGTTAGCCTGGCGTTATCTACAAACCACAAAAGGGCCAAAGCCTCCGACCTCTTCTGGGACTCCCAGCGCACCAAAGCTGCTCAAGCGCGCTCCAGGTGTTGACATCAGATTTATCTGCATGCTCAGGTGCTGTTTGTGACAATCTTCAATTTAATACCTCACGCTATTAAAGTAATTGCTTGTGCTAGCGGGGCTGGCTCCACAGCCTTCATGGGAAGGAGAAGCGGGCGCCTACCAAGCCGAGGGCACAGGGAAGGGATGAGCTTTGGGTTCATCGGCAGCACCGTCCTGCCCGGCGTGGTACCTGGCTGGGAGCCGGAGCCAGCAGGCGGCAGTCCTGTCCAGCTCGGTGCCAAGGAACTCGCTCCTCTCTCCCTTGCAGGGGTGGATCTCAGAAACCCAGAGGGAATTCCCCAGCAGATTAGAATAATCAGAGGTGTGACACATTCTTGAGCAAATTGGATGAGGTCTTTTTCGTTTCAGCTCAGGAATGTAAATTCATGCTTTAATAACTTTGTTCTTGCACTGGCTTTCAACCAGGGGATCACAGAGTTCTCTACGCATGCACAGGTCCCTGCTCCCCTAGAAAGGGCACACTGAGACACCAGCACCAGAAATGGAGAAACTAGGCAAAAAAATAGCAAAGAAGTTTACACTTGTGCGGGGTGGTTGTAGCTGGGGCAAATCTGTGACAGACAGATCTACTTCTGACCAAGATGCTAAGCTTCTTGTATGGTCCAGGAACAGTCCCTTCAATTCACCTGACCTATCTCTGGATAAGCAGTCACATCCCACAGCAATTCCCTCAATTAGGTACCAAGGGAGTCCGGAGTAACTCGGGGAAAATCACTGCACTTTGCCAAACGGGTCCCACCACTGGTGCCTGAGTTTAAGCCTCCAATTTTCAGCAGTTTCAGACAATGGATTCTGCAGGAGGCGAGGTGCTTTGCAGGTCCCTGACACTTCAACGAGTGCTGCAAATCAACACCAAGTAGGTCCTCACCCTCCAGTGACAGGAATTTACCAAGGTTCAGCAACATGCAGCATCCAGAGGTATTTTCATTAAGAAATACTGTGGAAAGGGATTTTTTTTTTCGTGGTGTATGTGGTCTGAAGCTCAGCACATCACCAGAAGCTAGGAACAATGGGAGATGTCTGCAAGATGGTGCAAACCCTCATCTTCCAAAGTCCTCGCCTTCCTCTGAAGCACCAAACATTGACTGCAGGGAAGGAGGACGTAAGCCTGTCCAGCAGCTCTTCTGGCTATGGCACGTCCCAAGACCGAGCCTCTGATGTACATTTCAAAGTCTGTACCTACAACACTTACAAGATGTCCCAGAAAGCTAGGGCAGAGTCAGCAGCAAACGCAGGGTCCGCATGCAGATGCCACTGACACAGGCAATGGGGTCATTTTTACTAGTGCAAAAATATGCAAGATAATTATATGATATGAGCCTCTAAATCCAGACATCCCTATGCCACAGGGGATTTTTGTCCTACCTTGCCCTTGGCTCTGAGCCATCTATCACCACAGGAAGGAAAAAAAAACCCTCAAAGTACCCGGGTTTCTGAAAACACTGGAAGCTACTTCTCTGGGGACTAAAGGTGCTCAGTGCCTCAGAGTCAAAGCCCTTTCCCATATTCGCACCCATGGCACCCAGCCGCACAGAGGAGGAATGTTCCTGCTGTTAAGGCTCACTTACCCAGAGGGGTACATAAAGGAACTTCCTTGATTCTGGTGCTGGTTGGGTGGATAATTTGGGACAACTCTGTTGCCCCCTCTTCCATCAAATAACAGGGGTAATATTTAAGATTCTTTGCAAAGCACTGATATCTGCTTGTAAGGAAAATTGCGTGTAAGAAACAGGGATCATTTCATTACAGGAAGAAGCTCATCATCCTGCAGAGGACCATGCCAAAATCTTGGGGCTGCCGAGATTCACATTCAGCCCTCCAAGAGACCTTTGCACAGGGACAAACACGAGGTCTCCGTGCAGCAGTACAAGAAGAGATGAGACACTTTTCTCACCTGCCATCCTGCCCTGAGGAGTGTGTGCGCCTCCTGCAGAAAGAAACCAGAATAATAGAGTTTGAGGAGCGATTTTAAGATCGAAATCCTACACTGCCCCAAATTTAACTCCCCACCCCACGAGGGAGATGTTCTACTCAACAGCTGACACCTCTCCCAGCAACAATTAATCCCATCAAAGCTCTGTCTGTTTGCTCCCAGGAGAGATTAATTAAAATCGGTCATTAGCATTCCAGAGCATAGGGCAGCCTGCCGAGATCTGCAGCACGAAGAGGAACGGCAGGGGCTTGACTCCAGTGGGAGCAGGGGACGAGTGCTGTCCTCACCTGTACCGGGGCTGCTCAGAGGTCTCCGAAGGGGATCGCTCAGGAACAGAGAGAGATGTTGAAGATAGCGTTGTGGCTATGGAGGCCGTGGTAGCTTCTTCAAAGGAAGGAGGTGTGCAAGGTAGCAGGTCTGGCCTGCCTGCTGGCCCACAGTGGAGGGCAGGAGATGCAGGAAGAAAAAGATGAGTAGGTCAAACACCAGCACCTTACCTACACCAGCCCTGTGTTGGGGCTGTTCCGCCATCGGCCTGCACACCCTCACTGGGACCGGTCACTTAAAACCACAATCAGGCAAGAAGTTTAGCTGGGTTCATGAATGCAAGAGCTTCTCCCAAGGCATCCAGAGAGGCAGTAAGCACCATTTCCAGCATGACAGACACTACAGAAAACGTAATGCCAATGAAGACATCTCACTGGTAACCAAAGGTGGATTAAACGCTTGGATTGCCAGAGATAAATATCCAACTGAATTAAGAGATGAATCAAGTGCTCACTGCTTTGCACGGTTAGAAATCTAACACCTATGCACTTGAGGAGCCTGTCCTTCACCACTCATCTGTAAATCCAGCCCAGATGGAAGTGATGAAGAGGCAGCACAGAACTAGGCCATTCATGGTTTTTTAATGGCAAGATCTTGCCCCTTATAATTGTCCAAACACTGTCATTAGAGTCCTGCAGTTCCCAGTCCCCACCCACCCCTTTTTTTTAAAGGGTGGAAAATTCAACTTTCTGCTCGCTTTTGGGCTATGAACGCTGGTGCCAGTTGGCAGCGGCTGCCTCACAGCAGTGACACAAGTGACCGTTTTTACTGCAGAACCATACAGTGCTGCAAAGAAGGGATTCGGTTTTCTTTGACGCAGAGGCGTTGCTTCCGCAACGAACTAACTGCTGGTGCTGTGACAAAACAATATACTCTTACCTTCTCCCCTGTCCTGGTTAAGTTTAGCACCTGCAAAGCACAGCAAGACATGCAATGAAGAGCTGTCTATCAAGGAAGACATGGTCGGTGCACAGTGGGGAACTTGACGAGAACAGGGGAGGATCCTAAGGAACTGCTAGGGAAGAGAGGGTAATCACACAGCCATCAGCCACCCAACGAGATCGTTACCTTCATCGTCAAGTGTGGGGTAACTCCTGGCTGCACGAAGATCATACTGTGTTTCGTCCTTCTCAGAGGGAAGCTGGCTAGCTGAAAATGCAGCCGTTGGACCAACCATCTTGACAGCTAGCAAGGCACTACGCCCTTTCTTTGAGGGAGATGACTTCAGAGCTGGATGAGAAGAGTTGAAGAGATGAATTTACCACCACCAGCTACCGTGACACCACCAAAGGCACTTTTCCCTTCATAGGGAGAGGCCTCTGCCCTCTGACACACGCACACGTGCCATCTCCAAAAGACTGCCTGCTGCAGGGAGAGCTCCTGGGTGGCAGTCTGAGCAGAGCAAAGCAAGCTGTGACAGCCTGAGGGCTCTGCAGTTCCCCAGCTTTGCTCTATATTACAGTGGAAAAACCTGCTTAGATTCGGGCCAAGAAACTCTTGAAGCAGCAAGATTGAGATAAGGCTTGTCTCACATCACGAGGGCAACAGCTCTGGACCAGGTACTTACAGGAATTCTTTCGAAACACCGTGTTGGTCATGAATTTGAAGAATCTCTCTGCATAAAAGCTGGGTCTGTGTACTGACACCGTGTCCTACAAAGGCAAGAAGCAATTGTTTAATTTTAAAATTATCCCTCAAGGCGGAATTTCTATAGCAGCCAATGCAATTTTTTATTCCAACATTTAGCACTGACGGAGCCTTAAAATGGAAAGGCTTAACTGAAATGATCTGATTAATGCTATAAATAAGCCTGAAGCATTGCCTTTGATTTGATTACATTCTTGCTGTAATTTTATAATGGATTTTGGTGATTTTATTCCTTTGTAGACTTCCTGGATTTTTCAAATGTTGGCCCAATTACATACATGAAATTTCTTCTGGTTTTGCTGGCTGACATTCAGAGCACATCTGGATACCTTTGCATACAACACGGACACCAAAATTCAGCAAAGGGTCTCCATACATTTGAAATGTTTTGCACTTTTTGTTTAAAATAGTAAAACCGAAGCTGTCTCTGCTTCTGATGTTCAACTGTGCTACTATGACTGGGCATCTACACATTCCCTTTGCCTTATTATTTAAGGGAAGCTAGGGTATGCAATGCTGAAGAACAGTTTCCACATCCAAGATTGCTGTTTCGTAAACACGCACCTGGCTGCTGCAGGAGACAAGACAGCAGGGAAACACTAAATGGGATTTATTAACAGATAGCTTACTGAAGTGGAAACACAGTCAATCACCAAAGAGAGCAAACACAGAGCTCCTCAACACATACACGAATGCATGTGCCTTGCGTGTACAGCTCCTGGTATCATGGGGAGGAGGAAAACGACAGATGGGAGCAGAGGAGAAAAGCTGGTAGCACGACAGCCAAACATGCGAGGAGGTGGAGTGAACAAGAAAACCTGATTGGGAGTAAGTGGCACTACACCGCTGTGGAGGCATGAGAGGCAAGAACTATTCCTTCCATCAGCTTCAACTGTGCCAGTTCAGGCACTATAAATAGCAAGGTAATCGGCACCAACTAGCATAAAGAAAGCCAAGGCAGGTAATCCTGCTGAGGCCCAGACAACTCCTGCCTCTGTACAGGCACTCACCCCGTCATGGACAAGGGCCTTCCAGGTATGTTCTAGCTTCTTGATGAACCTAATTCCAGGGAAGAAGCAGAGAGAAAAAGACAGACAGACTCAGGCACATACTCTATATCCAAGCTACCTTTCATACCCCACACAGGAGAGATCACTGAGCTGCTAGCGATTCCTCCTTCATTTGGAGTGTAGCTTTCCTCCAACCAAGGGAGGTTGGGTGAGCACACCGGCATCTCTGTAGTCGGGTCAGAACTGCCTAGGAACCCTATAGAGAAGGAGGATGTGGGCTGGATGAGGGGCAGAAAATCACCTTCCATCCCTGGAGATATGCTACCCATCGTAGGCACAGTGACGGGAAACTTCTTTATGAGCAACTCATTATATTTTAGAAAAATGGCGCTCTGTCACCACCTGTTCTAAGGACAGGATAAAAATCCACAGCCCATCACACACATCGACAGACAGCTTTAGGCAGCCTGCCTACTCGTTATCAAATTCTTCAGGAAAGTCTCCTGATTTCATTCAGTATTAAAAGAGATGTTAACACACTTAAAGGACAGAGAATTGCAAAGTTACCTACCTGTATGATTGAAGGATATCTATTATTCCTACATGCAGCAGGAGACGCTCTCCTTTGCCATTTACTGCTGGAATTCCTCCCATCCTGCAGGTAAAACAAAACCTCAGCGGGTGCAGCCTCAAAAAGAGCAGCTGAAATAACCCCGAGACCTGCGGAAGGGTGGACGGCAGCACTGAAAAGAGGTCTCTGATGTGGTGGTCAGGCACAACACAAAACCTGAAAAATCACTTTGTGCACAACCACGGGAAGTCACCTACTGACCCACGCCACCTCACACAGCGTGACCCTCCCCGGGGCTACTGCCTGCCTGGATCGCCAAACACCAACAGTCGGGACAGGATCCGTGTCGCGTGGCAATACCTCTGCCTGGGCCAGAAAGAACCACATTGTTTTTTCTTAGCAAGACGTTTTATTCCAGGGACCAGATTATTTATCAGGTCAGCATGACCTGTCTGCCTGTTAGGGCGGCACACCTTTAAGGACGAGGATATTTCCAGTCCCATCCAAACTAATATCAGTTCTGCCAAAGGCGCAGCAACCACTAGCACCAGCACACAACGAAAGCATGCAGGTATCAGGCAGGCCACAGCAATTAATGAGGGTACTTGGAAGAATGGAAACACCAAAGTATTATCCTGGCTCCACTGTGACTCATCTTCCAACTAACTGGAGCAGCTGGTTTCAGACAGCAACAAACAGCAAACTCCACCATTTGTTAGCAAGCTTGGTCCTCAGAGCCAGAGAGACAGTCACAAGAGCCACCTGCAGCCCAAGAGCCATAGACTGGGCACAGCACAGACAGGTTTTGGGAAAACTCCCCCAACTCACAGCTCCACCAGTTACTCCAGCACTTGGCTACCTTGCTGTCTGCTAACTGCACTGGGATGGCTCCAGGGATTCCAAAGATGGAGTGATGGAGAACAAACTCCAAGCTCCTAGGGACAGGCTGATCCCAACTTCCGCTCCAGTGGATACTTCCACTCATTTGGATGCTGAACTAGAACTGAGCTAGTTTCTCCTCCCCAGAGCATGGGCGGATGTTTAGAGGCTGTTACAGGAGCTGACAACCTACAGACTGGCCTAAGAAGAGAGATCGCTGTGAGGCTGGAGTCTTATAGAAATATTTCCCACCTCGGCTTCCCCCTTACACACCGCAGCGCTTTACTGGCAGCAGTACCATAACCCCCAGGAGAGATGCTCACTCCTAACAGTTCATACGGGCCTCAGTTAGGCATTTACTGCTCCAGCCTCCACCTCCGTCCCTCCCAGCAGCGCAAGAGAACCAGGTTTTCACCTACGTGTCGTCTGTGTCTATGGACTCCCCCCGGGCAGCCCCACCCTGGATGGACTCCATGGCTGTGGAGTAAAGCGCCTTCTGCCCCACGGGACGCTTCTCATCCGACGTGCTGTGGGCTCCCTCAGACTGTCGCTCCCGTTCTTGCTGGTCTATGTTATGAACCCCAAGCAGGAGGCTGTAGTCCATGATTTTAAAGCTTTCCAACACCTACAGGTTAGTATTGAGTTTAAGAACAAAGGCAAAATATCAGGCTAGCAGCTCAAATACAGCACAGATCCCAAAGCATGGAACAGCCCAGCCACATTCCCATTAGCAACTCCTTTGCTAGAGCTTGAACGTTTCTGAACCAACAGTCCATCTCTGGACTTCATCACATAGAGTTTGTCTACGGAGATAGATCGCATGGAGTTTGGCCATCCCACAATCAACCCAAAGGGCTGAAGGCTTGCGAATAACACTAGTGTACCATGTATCTGCTGCATACTGTATAGGAAAAATGTATTTAGTCCCAACAGCCCAGCTACAAGCGGAGCAGGCTGCCACAATTTGATTCAGCAGGCAAAGGAACGCAGCCTTTAGTCCTCAGAGGCTGTCATGAGATCCAACTCCACTGCTTTGTTTTCAGGGAAAAGGGCAGTAGAAGGGATTTATCCTGTTTTGGGGTTAGCAGATTAGCAAGGATCTCAATCATTTGCTCTTCCTCATGCTCGAGAGCCACATAACCTCATTAACCCGCTCCCCAAGCTACCCCCTTTCTTACCAGACAGTCTCGTTGCAACGTTTTCACCAATGCACTGAAGGTGTCTGCATCCAACATCAGGCCCTCAGGCATGTCTTGTATGAAGTCTAGATCCTTGTATGTAGGGCTGGACTTTTCTTTTTCCTTCTTGGATGCCCGGCGTTTATAGGTCGAGCCTTTCAGGTCAAATTTCAGGTGCATTTTCACCACGCGAGGCAGAATGTTGTTCATCACGACCACGCGGATATTTTTGCCCCCTGATTGCACACAGTAAAGTCCGTAAAACTTCGGCAGCAGCGTCCGTGGGTTCTGGTTCAGATTCTGCAGCAGGGTTGGGAAAAAAACAGAATGGGGAAGGGTCATTCGGCAGAAGACTCCTGCTATGTTCAACACAAAGCATGTTAACAGATCTTGGAGCAGCCAGACTAGGGGTTCTTCATCTAGAGATTTTCTGAACTTTGCACAAGAGCTTACTGTACACATTTGACAAACTCTTGCATTTCAGTGGCTTTAGGACCTGAAATACCACTATGCCTTGAATACAGGGAATGAGATGTTCAGCACTCTCTGGGCAAATAACCAAGTCCGGAAATTCCCCGCTTTCCCCATCAACAGCAGCTAAAAAAGGGAAACCGAGCTGGAAGAGAAATAAACACAATAAGTGGGAACTTCAAGTTTAAAAATAACAGCTATCTTCATCTCGTCAGAAGTGTCAGAAATCAGGAGCTGTTCTCTGGCCCAGAATAAACCAGGGATGGGGTATTTATTTTTTTTTTAAACAAAACAACATAAATTTTCTCCTCCTTTTGCAGAGATGCTTTACAAAACACAGTTGGCCAGAGAGCACGGATATCCTGCTGTGCTATCATGTCCTTTTTTTAGGCAGTGGTATTATTAGGAATGACATGACAGGCATGATTTGCTTGTTCAGCTTTGGGAAAGTTTGGGAAGGAAATAGAACATTTCTGCATGCTATGAAAGAAAGGACAGACCTGACAGATTCTCTGACAGACGGCAGAAGTAAGACCGTATTAAAATTTCATGCCCTTCCTCATCTCACCTAACTGGGCACACGAGTGCGCTCTCTTTGTGAGTGCGCTGTTCAACATGGTGCAACCTAAAAGCAACAGAGGTAGGCAAGACCAAACGCAAACAGCATGTGCCCAGCTTTAAAGTAACTCAGGATGAAACCACTCTGCTTCCTTTCCGCTGACTCCTTTTACGCTGGATGACTTTACCAAGAACAGCAGAGAGATCGTGCATTAGCACCACAGTAACCCAAAAACACTGAAATGCTGCAACAAGTAGCACATGACTCTGCACCAGACAGGTAAGTTCAGTTTGATTTGTTACACTGATTGCTAGCCAGGAAAACTGCAGGATTCAGGACAACAGCACAGCTCCATTCCCATTCAAAACCCTCCACCAGATTTACTATATATATTCAGGCAACAGCCAAAGCTTTCCAAGAAAGCTCATCCTGTCCAGAACGTGACTGTCACTTGCAGAAGCAAGCAACTGGCTGTTAGTTATATACAGACACCCAAGACCCTGTCTCACTTTGGCAAATTTTCCCCAGTAAATATTGAGGTGTTTTCATAAAAACAGTGTATGATCACATAAAATCAAATCCACTGCAACAGGCACACAGATTAACATCACTTCCCATCCCCTTATAACTGAACTTCGGTGCCGTCATCTGTAGAGCTGGACCCTTCTCCACAGTTACGCAGGGTGACAGCTCCAGGTTTACGTGCCAAAACGTTGGGTTTGGTTCCGATTTACTACTTGTCACCACGTGCAAGTCCTCTGGGTCTCAATATATTGCCTTGCTAGCCCTGAGATTTAAGCAACAACTATCTGCAGCAGACTGGACGTGCAAAGCTGGCTGGTACCGTGGGAATCTTTAGCTTGGCACTGCAGCCGGTGGGAGCCAGGACAAGCAGCAACTGCCTTCAGAGTAACTCTGTTAAACAGCAGATACAGGAGATATCCAGGGACAGCACTGTTTTCCCCACAGAACCAAGGTGGCTGTGTTATTGCAATCAACAGCCACACTCAAAGCCAGGCTGAGGCTGACACACGGTGCCAAGCAAAAAATAATGAACAAGTGCTGAGAAAAGGACACCCAGAAACACACATCTGGGAAGCCATTTTCAGGCCAGAATGTGCCCACAAGCTACGACACAATTATCTGCCTCAAGTTTACCCAAGGAGTTTGCAAATAATTGGCAGGATTTGTGCTTCTGGGACTGGCTTCACGACACACTGTTAACATTGTCCCTGGCACAGGGTGGGCAGGCCACAAGAAACCCAGGTGCAGGACATGCCCTGTGTGATGCTCCGGACAGAAAAGCTGCCACAACAAACCCAAGTCGGGTCCCAGGTGCTGGGTGATACACACCATGTAGTAGCCAGGAAGGAGCTTCTGTAAGAATTCAGCTTCCTTGTGCATCACAGTTTTTATGATGAATTCATCGTCGCTGGTGACATAGAAGAGGGAGCCGCTGGCACCAGGGTTCGACAGCTCTATCAGAGGCTCGTTACATAATGAATACTAGGGAGAAAAAGAAAAAAAGATTCTGTTTTTAGCCCTCCACTCATTGCACATTGAGTTCTATGCCCTTGAGGGCTTTCCCCAGCGTCCTGTCTCCCTGTGAGATTAAGGGGTAGCAAAGCTTAGGTGAGAACTATTTTCATTATAGGTTAGGTCTGAGCAGCAAAGCTGATGGACAATTTACAATTAAGAGACTGAGATTACAGTTCAGAGCATCCCAACTGCTCAGATTCAAGCTAATCACCTGCTTTCAGTGACATCCAAGCCTCATAATGACATCTTATCTTTTCCCATTGTGCATGTATGCGTGTATCACATTTAGGCTTCTTTCAGCACATTACCGCGAGCGCAGACAGAAAGATGGGATTTTAAGAGACATGACAGTCTGCTCAGGGTACCACGTATCACCGTGCTGGAGGGAACACAATGCACTGGCTGTTCTCAGCAACCTCCTCTGGCCTTGTGCTCCCTTGTTACAGAGGATTTTAACAGCCCCATCTCCCCCCCCCAATCCTGCTAGAAACACATGAAAAGTATTAAGACCGGGTGTCCAAACAAGAAGAGGGATCAGCGCTGTGTAAGCACAACAAGGGGTTGTTTAAATTTAATTCCATCAGGAATTAAATTGGGAGGACATTTCTAGACATCAGTACGCAAACAGCATAAAAAGAAAGTGCAAGCACGCACGTGCACTTTGCAGCTAGGTGCCAACCCCAAGGTAAGCGTGTAGGTCGAGTGGGTTCAGGGTAGTATCACATCAGAGCTGCCACAGCAAGAGGTAAGATGGGGAGAGGGAGGTAAGGTATGTAAGGGACATAATCAGAGCAATAAATTAAATGCTCATCATTACGTACTGAAAACAGCTTTCAGCCCTGCACAGATTAATGATTCAAGACGTTATCAAGTTAATTATCTCATGCATAATTAAAGGCATTTGCTGCTGTGGCAGGCAAGAGAGAATCAGGGGAAGCAGAAGCAACAAATCAGAGCTGTGACCTTTGCAATTGAGGCAGGCTCTTTGCCTCACCCAGGTTTTGAACCACTCATCACATCAGCCAGCATTATCTTGGATGGCACAGATGGGGACGACTGTTACTGTCAAACCGTGCAATGGCACAGATTTGCTTCTACTGGTAGGTGTTCAGCTATGATTACCCCCGTCTACATCTCAAGTCAGAAAAAAAGGGCTATTAAAAAAGGGGGAGAACGTGTGCTCATTTGGATGTGTTCCCTTCCTCGGGTCAACAAACGTCCTTTTCTAAAGAGCAGGATGTCACATACATGCAAGGGACCAAATTCAACCCCAGCGTACTCCAAGCCCCGACAGCTTGTACTACTAGGTATTTAAAAAACAGCCTTTCCAGCTCTGAGGAGTTTTCGGAGCACAAGAACAAGCTGTATTTTATTTTTTGTAAGATGATTAAAATAACTGCACTCACATAGCTCTCAAGTGAGTACGCAGGGAAAAATTACATCTTTGTCCTCAGAGCCCCAGGGGACATTACAGGGTTGCACCCAGCAGAACACAACTCCTTTTGCTTGTACACACACTAAGTTATTGTCACCACAAACAGAGAGGGAACCCCATCGCATAGCTTACACAGCGCACACTGTATGCAGATCATTTCCTTTCCCTCCAGTGTAAGCTAGCAGCTACCTCTAAGTGAAGACTTGGACTGACTGGTGCCGGTCTTGCTGGGACCATCACTGGAACTCCTCCAAAACTGAACAGTGTCCCTAAATCCACAGCCTGTTCCCCACTCCTTGCTGGGACCAGAACGATTCCTCACTCTTTTCTGTCCTTTTCAGTCAAGAATTGCTGACAGCCTTGATTTAGAGGCAGATTTCTTGTGTTACTCTAGACCATCTCAAATAAAGGAGGAAAGACAGAGAAATCCAAAAACATAGCCATACCAAATAATCATCTGGACGAATCCCAAAGAGTTCTCGGAAGTACCGAAAAGCCACTGGTGCATAGGTCTTGAACCTGAAGTCAGCGTAATGGTGAGCCGGGGTGAGATTACTTCCTTCACTGCACAGAACAGACATCACGTGAGCAGGGCCTCTGTATTACCATTCACTAGATACGTACAGTCACATCAAGGCTACTGTATAGTTAAGATGAATTGAGCCTTGCAAAAAGACATCTTAGTAACAACAACAAAAAATATCTTTCTTCTCTGGCAGGACAACAGGAAAATAGGTTTTAAATTATCTGCCAAAATCTATGTCTAAGAGTGGAAGGAACAACCACTTGCCAAGCAGAATATATTTACACAGACAATAGAGCTTGTATGAGTTTTGTTTATTCACAGAGTTAAAGAGCTCCCAGAATGAGTTTCTTCCATCTCAAGCATGGTATAATTTTGTGGAAGAGATTCTAGATGGACAGGTAGAAAGAAAAGCATGTAGGAAGGCTAACAAACTCAAGCATGTAGTACTGCGTCTTACATTGTACTTCCTCACAAGCCAGTGTACTGCAGAATCTAACACTTCCCACTGTTATGTTTGTATGTAATAGATGCATATTTAAAACATTCAGAGCAACCGACTCTGATCTAGACAGATGGAATGTCTCTTGAAAAAAAAAATCAGTGAGAGGAAAAGAAATATCTCATCCGTTCATTTTGTTTCCCCCGTCTCTTTTACCTTGGGAAAAAAATGCTCTCTACCACGTAGAAGTCCTGCATCAGGACATCTCTCTCTGGCTTGGAGCTCAGATTGCCGACAGTATATCCAATCCCTAGCTGGATGGCCCCCTTCAGAGTGGATGAGGTGGTCTGGCAGAAAGAAAAGAGCAGTCAGTCAGCATTTCACAGCAGATTATCGCAATAACATCCCCTAAATGACAATACAGTCATATTGATGACTTCCATAGGGTCGTCTCTGGCACTACATGCTGCTAAACAAGTTCAACCGACTGCTGAAGAGATGGATTAAGACTTCCAGGTTTGTCATTTGCAAGATTATGCAGTACAAGGGTGCAGCATAAAATCTAAATCAGATTGGTAGCTACTGGGCCCCAACTTCTCTTCTCAGCCTGCCACCTACACAAAGCTGCCACTCCACGAAGCCAAACCTTTTTGTAGGTGGTTTCACCAGAAGCATCAACGCCTCGATGACCTATCTTCTTTCCTTGGCCAGGCTGTCCCGGTAGCGATGGTCCCTGCAATGAAAGGGCATGGCTAAAGCCCAAAACAGAAGCTAACCTGGCTGACGAGAACAAGCAGAGCAGCACAGGTACAACCACACTACCACGGTTGTAAAGGACACAAGGATCGCTCGCTACCTCTGGAGAAAAATCTGCAGACTGCAAACAGGTGTAATTGGCATCAGCTAAAGCTTTAAACAAGGCTGTTTGAATTATACATCCATCCCTCAAGACAAGACGAGTTCAAATACCCAAGGACTCCAGCTGATACCCTCAGGACTAACTGGGCAGAACCCTCAGCAAAGATGCTGAGCTCAGGAAAGATCCGCTTGCTTCTCAGCTGCCAAGATTCCCCCGTTGCTTGACTGCAACTTCTCATTAATTTGAAATAGCGATATATTAAATCAAACAGCGAGAGAAGTTTATTCTTAAAAATCCCATGCCCTCAGGTGTCGTATCTATACCTCGCGCTTCACTGGAGACATAAGAGACAGATAAGAGGGACAACACAACCTCACTCCTGCGTTCACATGGAGAGAGAACTCATTTGTTTACAATTCAAAGGACGAGCCCGCAGAGGGTGAACTGCAGTAACAGCTCTTCCCAAAGTTTTGCAAAGAGTTTACAGAAACACTATACGAATGCCAGCACTTCAGAGGGAGATCGAACCTACTCCTATCTCATTCTCCTCCTCTTCCACCTCTGAGCCTGCCTGGGCCTTTTTTTGCTGATCCAGGAGGGAGCAGATTGTGGCCGCACCCTTTAACAAGCCAACACAATCGTGTTTTGTGAAGTTTGATACAGGTCCTTTTGCAACCCCAGGCGTAGGGCCTCTATACTCTGCCACGGGGCAAGGTTTTGTCTACTCGCCAGCTCCCCTGCCAGCCCAGTGGATTGCAGAACTGCCAGTAAGCCACCACCGATGTTTGGGGTTTGTTACACTAAAGAACAGCCAGGCTTTGGATGTTCTTTAAGCAGCGTGCAGAGAGATCCAAGGTCATTTCCCAAGTGACAATATTATATCACTGTCTCTCTCAAGTGCCACACAGACCCATCTCACAGAACTGATGTCTACAGCAGACAATGTATAATTTTGTTCAGACTACAGAAGTTCTTTGTGTTTTAGCTTTTAATCAAGAGCTTGCAGCTATTTCTGGTCAAACTGCTTGTACTTCTGGTACTAAGGGTCAATCTGATTTCTACTTCAAAAAATCTTATTTCCTACTCTGTTTTAAATATTTAGCACAGCCAGGCTTGCTTCTGAGTGCTCCTTCTCCAAGCAGTCGTGATGAGCAGTCAGCTTATCCCTTCCTTGCAGTTTCTAACCAACAAGCTGGATCCTATTACACGCCAAGCTCAAGCTGTATCGTCCTGCCTCACCACATGGCTCATCATCATCCTCCTCTCAAAGGGATTAACAGACACAGGTGTTCGTTAAGAGATTGCCATCATATGAAATGCAGTAACAAAAGTCTCTTCCACAGTCCCTTGCTCTACCTGTGACTGTGTTTCCAGGGTGTCGTGTCACATTCTGGGCAGTTTTATGGGAACATTTATTTTGCTATTCATGAATACAAATGCTCATCATCCCAGGTGAGTAATGTAAAGGGGTATGTCAGAAAATTAGATCAAACAAAAATCATTTGAACATGGTGCCCTGAACCAAAAGCGTGGGCTTCAGGGAACAGCTTTTAGGCACAGATCCTCCTACTAGATTCCCTGCTGCCAACTGTGAAGAGTTTTGCTCCAGAAGGTAACAGTGATTCAGCAACCTGGATTATGTGTGAGAGAAGATCAGTCCCTTGAGATGTTCCCCTGCTTTATGGCTTCACACATTACAGCCTCCTTGACTCGCTCCCAGGAACGGGTGAGACCCAACACAGAGCCCTGGAGATGCCCAATACAGGGATTCTCCACTGATCACCCTCAGGTTCTGGTGTGGAGGAGGTGCCCTCAGCCACTTACTTACAGACATCAGGGATCGCACAGCTAAAATTGGCCACGCGGTGGACATAATCCCTTCACATCCCCTCTGTGTTTCTGGCGATGCCAACACAGACTCCAGAGACCTGCCGCTGATTTTCTTTCTCCCAAATAACAGATATCAAATTTTCAATAATCTTAAATGTATTTTGAAATCGAGCTTCGCTCAAAAAAAATCAGGCAGAAGTGTTTTCTAGAGCTCTGTGTTCTCATTTCTCAACACAGGATCTTCAAGGCCGGCTTTACACATCTCACCTCAGTGATGGCTGTCTTCTTCGGTGCCAGACCTGAGGAGAGAAGGGAAAAACATCAGTAAAAGTAGGAACACCATAAAAAAACCCCCAAAACCCAAACAAAAAACCCCACACACAACCAAAACAAGAAAACAGCCTAATGCTTTGCTCTTTCAAGCAAGCTGGAAAGCCTTTAAAGCAGCTGGTTTTGCTCACTTTTCAGTTTCACTAGTGCAAGAGTCTGAAGTTATATGGGTCATCCAAACAATTTCATATTCAGAAGCACAAAGATGCACAATTTTTTTGCTAGCAATAATGTTTCCTAGAGGCTTCAGTAGAGAGACTTCTTGTAAATCCCTGCTGCACTGTAAGTAATAGGTCCACACTACACTGAAGAGTCAGTTACATGCAGAAGCCCAGAGAGACACTTATGAAGCTGATTTCCAGCCACTCAGAAGGCACTTGACAAACTATATTGATAATTGAATCTATTTATAGAATCTGATGTCCAAATATATCGCGAAAATGAATGCATCATTTATCTCTACCACTGCCTTTGGGAGAAGCCACCATTACAGTGAACAGTGAGAAATTAGGATTTTGCCTAAGGCTTTAGATATATAATCAGAGTTGGAAACACGGGCCCAAACCCTCCTCTAACATGAGGCCATGTTTCCATTTCCTAGCACGACCCCAAGTTTGCAAGAAGCTCCTTATTTTTAGGCAACAGCAAGAACAGGCTCCTCTGCCGCTGGCCCTGCGAGATGTTCACTGACCTGCTGAGTGTCTCGCATATGGGACCACAAGCTCCAGCCCAGCTGACTCTGGAGAGCCACCATGAACAAGGATCAAGACCAGATGAAGAGCAGCAGCTTCCCACCCCATCCCAGCAGCACAACATCCCCACCAAGGCAGCTCGCCAGCCTCTCCAAAACACCTCTACATGCAGAGCCCAGTTATTAGGAGAAGCCCACTTGCAAAGAACACAAACCCAAGTGACAGATTTAAGGCTATCCGTTTCCAGGTACGAGTCTCTTGCTCCCTGCTCCTGTCTAAAGCATTCCTACAAGCAGAGATCGTTACGCAACCCACAATCCTTTAGAAAGGGCTTAATTTCACAAGAGACCATCTAGCAGAGCTGGAGAATTTTGGCTGTGAAGAAGAAAAGCTTTTCCAAGCCCTCAACTTTTCCCCACTTGAGGGCAACGGGTGGATCACACTATGGCCCACCGGTGCACAAGTCCTCTGACTCACGAGGGACACCTGCACTCAAACCAGGGGAGGTGGTCCCCCTCCAGGGGGAACAGGAGATGTCCAGCCCTCCCAGCTGGAGAGCTGGAAAAGCCCCAGAGGATCCAGCCCAACATGCTGCTGCTTCAGCATCTCCCCCATTTGGCCAAGGAGGAACTACGATGGTTTAACTGGGGTAACTGCTCGACCTCCTCAAATACAGGCAGTGATGCTTCAGGGCTTGTTTCAAAAGGAGCAAGTTGGGCATAAAAGGAGCAACGATGCTCTGCAGATGACAACAGCGCTAGGAGAGCATATGATTCCATTATATTTCAGGAAATACTTCAGATGCTGGGAAGCAAAAAAACCAACAAACCCAACAAAAACTCCTCGGTGGTCACAGGGGAGGTGAAATTGTTCTCCATCAGAAGTGCTGAGGTTACCTCACTGTCCTGGTCTCAGCAAACTGGCGATCCCCTGGTGTAAAACAGGTCTTGTCAACGTGGCATTTTGAACCGCCTGCAAAGCAACCCCCAGCCCGACAGCTTGGCCCACGTTTGCGAAGATGGAGCAGCAAAGGAAGATTCACTTCTTGTTGGTTTAAGTTGTACTCTCTAGCGCCCAAGTTTCACATCAGGAACAGAATCACAGGACTGCAGCAAAGGTCTGAAATCCTGCTCCCTCTGTGCGAGCTGTGTTGCACAATCCCATCTCAAACAGGAGGATGGGGGGTGAGCAGAGCGGGAGCCCCTCACCACCAGCGCAGAGTGGCTCCCCTCCATCACCCACCTGGGTTGCCCATCCCTCAGCCAAGGGGACGGTGTTGCATGTGATGGGCAACGTGAAACCCCATCACTCCCTCCAGCCCTTTGGGGCTGCACCAGCACGCAGCTCAGGGAACCACTGCTAGCTCAAACTCTGCATCACTTTTTGCACCGGAAAGTTAGTTCTTTGGGCTAAGACAACATGATTTATGATTGTTCAACAAAGAGCCCCACAGCAGACAGAGGAGCAGGAGATATGGCACTGAGCGAACATTTGGTTAACGAATTTTCAGGGCACAAGCTGGAGCGGCAACTCAAGACCACAGAGGAACCCAAACGGGCAAATGCTGCTTCAGGTTGAACACTGGAAATTGCTGGGAACCCAACACGGCCAAGAGGGTCCTGAGCCAGGGAGACTACACTGTCCCTGCCATGGCCGTGACGGCTCTCCTACCGCACTAATCTCTTTTCTGCACTTTGTCACAAGTCCAGAGCAGGAGATTATCTTTAATTTTGTGATAATTACCACAAGCCGCTTTCGTTCCCAGCTTTTAAGTGTCTGCTGCTGTACACGTACCAAATGTGGAATCAACACCAACCACCTGCGCGAAGGAAAGGTACCAGAGGTGAGAAACTGTGGATCTCCAGGAGAACTGATGCTTCAGGTGGACAAGAACATCACCAGTAAAACCTCCCTCCCCACCCCCCCCAAAAAAAAACCACAACAAAAAACAAACCCAAAAAATGGCTTTATAAAATCAACTTGTCTAGGCAGAAAATGAAAAAATCTTCCACTGGCTACTCAGTGCACAGCACTCGGCTGTGCTCATCTCAAACAAGCTGACAGATGGCCTTGCAAAAACTGATTTAACTCCAGCTTCGGGGGTTATATTAGCCATGAGAGACAGCACTCGGGTTTGCGGGGAACAGGCGCTCTGCTGTGGGAAGTTTCAACACTTAACAAGCTAATAGAAATGATTCTTATCCGATTTGGTGCAGCTTAGTGAGGGTGTATTCAGAAATGTGACGAGCGGCTCTGAAAGGGGAACCCTGGGATGAAACCCCAGCTTTCTGCCCTGCCTCCAGCTCGTGCCTGGGTTCTGTAGTGCATTTCATGCACGCTTGACCTGCTGCCTTCAGTTCCTCTTCTCATCTGCGCACAGCTTTGAGTCGACCCTATCCCAACGCTCGAGCTCCTCCAGAGCCTCAGAAACAAATGTTTTGGCTGTAGCATTCAGCAATTCTCATCTCTGATTTAATATCTATTTTTTCCATACGCCTCTACTGACAGCCACGATCCCCGCCACAATGCTGACACCCTGCAGGACAGGGATGAGTTTACTCTGCATATTGACTCTCTGCAACAGAAAAGGACTCTTGAGTTTTAGCTCTATGGCTCCAGAGGCCCCTCACCCCCATTTTCTGACCCCTCAAAGCACAGCACAGGCTGGCAGGAGGCTCCCACTCAAGAAGGAAACCCTCATCGTTACCAGGTGCGTCAGCCGGCCTCATCAGTGCATCTGAACTCACAAAATGGTGCAGGGTTGGGATTAGAGCAGCTCCCTTGGCTTCTCCAGCCCACAGCCTCTCTAGATGCTGTCATCAGGGAAATGCAAATGATGCCAGAATTTAGGAAGTTAAAAAGAATCATCAAATCTTTGGGCTTAAAAAGCAAACTTCATGAAAATCAGAAAATATTGCCCTTGCTGTCTACCACTTTGAATGTGTTTAAGTTAAAGACATGGGTTTCAAGTTTCATTTACATGCAGAGAATAAATTTAAAAAATCTAATCAAGGAAAAAATAAAAAAGTCACTTGTATCTCTCAGAACCAGCTAAGGCAAGGTGACTAGCAAAACCCCTTCATTACAAACTCGGGAAGAGCCACAAGAGGCTTCTATCCACTGAAAAGAAATTTCTTAAGAAAGTTTACAAACATCCAGCAGACGCCTCCTTTAAGGCCTAATAAAGAAGTCTAATAAGACAGATGAATACACACATATATACATACAAGTGTTTGATGCTTTATGACGCTCTAGAAAAGTCAATGCAAATTTCAATAGCTGCTAGATTTATCTGGACTTTTTCTCTGGTCAGAGATGGTGCTGCATCTTTAATAAAAGCTTCACTTTAATAAAGTGTTTACCAGGAGATATACAATGTGACTGCAACTAAAAATACCTTAGAACATAAACACCATGTAAGCTCTTCCGCTGGAGGCTGTACCAACATGACCCCTCCAAAAACCTAGCACGCCGGAGGCTTGCAATTTGCTACTCGCTCTCAGTCGGGGCAGTAGCCACTGCAATTAAACATGGCTAGTTTTCAAAGTACAGTTCTCCAAAAGCCTTAGACCAGCAGTTTACATTTGTTGTCGGTGGGGTTTTTTTATTTATTCTTTGTTTTTCAACTACTGAGGTGAAAGCAGCCTTGCAAAATTGAGATTTAATACTAACCCAGCGTAATCGACTAGAAAGCTGCGAAATTCTGACAAGTCACACACACACCGAAGGAGGTCTGGATCCAATTTTACACTTACTCAATAGAAAACAAGACAAAGTGATGACACACCTGAGCAACTCATTTAGACAATAAAAGGAGATGAAGACTGCAACCAGGATGCTAGGATTTATTGTTCGATCAGACCACTCTAAATGCGGCCCCGTCTGGTCAACGCATTATGTGCAAAAGCATTAAGAAACGGAGTGCTGAGGCATGAGCTGTGAAAGTTAAAGGCTATACACATGTAGCAGATGTGTTGCGGTGGAAATACAGAGAAAAAGGCTGGAAATGAAACGCATCCATCAAGAGACAGCTGTTACTTCTCGTAAGGGACTGCTGATAAAAAGAAATTAAAATTAAGGGCGGGAGGGGGGAAGGCAATTCGGAGAAGATGCCAGAAAACACGCCTCAGCTGAGAAGCGGCATCTGAATTAGTGCAGGCAGCCAACCGGGGCTTCACGAGGAGCCGGCACGAGCGTGAGGCCGTATCACAAAGGAAAGGCAGAAAGCAACCTCTGAATTTCTTCTCACGCTCGAAACGCGTGGCTTCAGCAAGCAG